GATTATTTAAATTTATTTGTTGATCCTCCATCTTGTTCAAAACATGATTTAAGGCTGTCATTTTAAATGAAGTTTTGATTGTCAGGCTTTTTCAGATAAAATAAAAGTTGTTGGATTTCCATCAACAGATTCTCAGTTGACAGGCTGGTTCTGTCCATGGCTTCACTTTATTTTCTGGAGGGCACTGCAAAGAATTCCAACTTCACCTACAAAGAAAAGCAGATGAGCTGTTCATATCGTGAACAAATGCCCTTCAAGTGTCCACAGCTTATAAAGCAGCAGGGGACAGCGGGATGCTTAGATATGGTAGGTACCACCCCAGCCTTCAAGGAGTTTATGGCTTAGCTATAGTGATAGAATTAGGGCAGTTATGGCATAAGAAATTACAAGTTCTAGGAAGTGCTAGAGCTATTCATTAATTAACTTCCTCTTTCTATAGGCTATTTCTCAGGGAAGGAGTTAATAGTCTCCTCCCCCAGGGAAATCACTAGCTGTTCTGTTTTTCTTTTATGTGACCTTCCGTAGGTGCCACTGAACCTAAAAGTTGGTTCATACAAACTTCCTGTGTCAGAATCACCTGGGATCCTATTACATATACAAACTCCCAAGTCTTACTACAAGTTTAATGAATTTAGTCTGGGGCTATGACTCAGGACTATTAATTTTTATTAGTTTTAGGTGTACAAAACAACATAGTCATTAGACAGGGACTATTAATTTTTATCTAGCTTTCCAAGTGATTCTGACGCATGCTAGGTTTGAGAATGCATAGTCTAAGCAGATACGTCAGCCTAGATTGCTAGACCACTGGACTAAGATATGATGGAGTCCCTCTCCTTCATGCCATGTTCTCACATGCCACGGGGCCACAGGGTCACAGACTCTTTATAGAAGTAGAAGGTACCTTGGAGACAGACAAGCCTCACTCCCTCCTAGATCTTGAAGAAACACAAGTATAGAGAGGTGATGGGGCTTTACATAAATAAGGTCACATAACTCTAAGAACCCTTCAGTTCCTATGTTTGCTATTCTGTGGTTTTAAAGATTCCTTTATAAACAACAGCCTACGGAGTTATTTTTGCCTTTTCAGGGCAAATAAGAAAAAGAGATAAAAGAGCCGTGGCCTGACCCCTCCATCACCATGCCAACCTCTGGAGCACTTAGCTGGCCTCTTTGGTGAATAGATCTATTCCAGCTGAGCGTCTAGTCTGGAGCCTGTAGGGGTGAATCAGCCTTGGGCCTTTTCAAAAGGCTGATCACTAGTGGCCATAACTAATAGGGAATGATTCTAATGGCCAGGGCCAGCTCTATGTACTGGAAGTGGCCTCAGGCAACATCAGAGGGGTATTAGAGGGATACTTGGAGCCTACTTACCCTTTTAGTCTTTGTTGGCATTACGTAAGTTAGGAACCCCCACGTGACCTAGAATTCCTCCCTGCAGGCTCAATCCTTTGGTGGTTTTGTCCATTTATTCAATAGCTCTTGAGTGTGTATTATATGCCACTGAGTTAGCTCAGACTTCTGACGAGCTTATGGATGACTGATGTCTGCAATGTCCTATCCTCAACAGCCATGTTCAGCTCCATAGACTCATTGTCTATGGCTTGGTTCAGTCATCAATTAAAATGGGGACTGCAGCCCAGAAATCAAGAGAAGGCTGAGACCCAGAAAGGCAGCAATGGAAGAATTAGGAAAGATCACCGAGAGCAAAGATGGGTCATTAGAGACCAAGGCTAAGGTCATCCATACCCTTATATTCCCAATTACTATAAATGGATGCAAAAGCTGGCCAGTGCAGAAGGCTAATAGAAAATAATTTTGATTCATTTGAAATATGGTGTTAAGAAGAGCTCGACAGGTACCCTGGACTGCCAGAGAGATAAGTAAGGGGATCCTAAAGCAAATTAAGCTATAAAGAACCTAATATTTTTAGGACTAAGGCTAAGTGCTGGGGATTCACACTGAACATGACATGACCCTTTGCTCAGGTCTAGTTGGGGAAATAGACAAGTAAACAATTACAAAAAATATATAATGATAAGTGCTCTGAAAGAGGTATCTATGTGAATTCCAAGACATAAGATGGACACCCAAACCAGTGTCCCTTCCTACAAGAAGAAATATCTATGAAGGACTTAAAGGATAAACTGGAGTTGGGGACCTTGAAATGGGAATGGTAAGAAGACTCTCTTAAATGAAAACTGTAGGGACAAAGGCCAGGAGCCAAGGCAGAGCATGGGAGCTAATGGTGGTCAGTGCTGCTAGAGGGGACTTTGAAGGGCTAGAGAGAGACCTGGGCAATGAACAAAACAACACTGTGATTTTTTCAAGAGGAAATTTTATAATATCCTCATTGTCCAAGAAGAGTGGATGAGCTACTAGAAGGCTGATAAAGTAGACAGAACTTTTCTCTTAGGGGCTGAGATTCCAGGCAGAACAATATCCAGGGGGTACTTAGAGGAAAGGGAGTGGAGATGCATAGGAGGAAGAAGAACACGGTGGTGACAAGCAAGCGTGGAAAGACAGTGTGCTGGTAGGAAGTGGGGTGGCGTCTAGGAAGGTCAAAGAAGAAAAACTACTCAAAGCAATGCTGAACTTTTTGTCGTTTTTCTCCCTAATAAACCAGTGGCTGACCTGGAGGTGCTTTTCCCCTTAGTTCAATATTTAATGAATTTCTTACTGTTCCTATAAGGTAAGAAAACACAAGCCTCTATTTCTGGGAAAGAGGGTGACCTAAAAGGGTATATGTTACTTACTGTTGATGGAGTCAGCCAAAATCTTAAGTTGCTGGGTGTTGTCCAAGACCTCAATCCTTTGGGTGTATGGGTCATAATGAACTGAGAAGGGCCGCTGGATTGTAGCAGCAAAGTTCCTGAAACCAATGCCATAGATTTGAGTGAAGGGCACTATTTTGGGAAAAACCATTCTAAAAGATTTCTCAACGGCATTTCACTTGGCTAGTAGTAGCACTGAAACCTCACTAAAACAGGAGGTTTAGAAGCCAGACTGAGAAGTGAAATGGCATTTCAGTGAGGTCCTCTTGGGGATGTTTTGTGTTCTGTGTGTGTGTCTATGTGAATATACAAACATATGCATGCCTTTATTTATTTGGCCACCTACCTCCAGAAAGAAAGAGGCTGCTTACCATAAAAGCATAGCATACAATAAGGCCAAAATTCTCATCATTGATCAAAATAAAAAGGGCAAGTACAACCAAGCCAAAGAATGTTACAGGAAAAAATGCTCTCTGAGATGCTTGACAATCAGTGCAGGGAAGAAATCACAACTCTCAAGAGTTGGAGAAAACACTATATTATTAATGAAATTTAGCATGGATTGAGTGCTTCCTATGTACCAAAACTATGTTAAGTTCCATTCTGTAGTCTTCACAATTATCATTCCTATTTGAATCTCATAAAAACCTTAGGAGGAAGGTACTATTATTACCCGCATTTTACAGATGAGGAAACTGAGGCTTGGGAAGGCTAAGTGACTACCAAGGCCATACTGGCAATACATGGTGAGGCTCAGAAGGGAGCCAGGTAGTCTGACTCTGGTCAGTGCCCTTTACATCCCTGCCTCCCCAATGCATTACTGCTGGGTCTAGGAGGAATGCACCATGAGGGCCTTATGAGGGACAACAATCTATTCCAGAATGGCCTATAAAATGCAAAGGCATCACAAATGATATTTCTAAGTTGGCTTCTGGTGACACTAGATGCTGCCATACTGTGGAGACAGTTATAAGGGAGGCTAGTACAGCTTGTCAAGCTTGGCAAGAGTGGTGGCGCATAGTGGCTGGGTACCCAAGTTCCAGAGCCAGGCTGCCAGGGCTCATATCCTGCCTCTGCCGATGACAGCCCTTGTGGCCACAGGCAAGGGGCTTATTCCTCCATAAAACTAGAACAAGAGCAGGACTACCTCAGAGGGTTGTAGCAAGTACAGCTATGGCTGAGTAGTGATTTCAAATAAGTTGGTTCAAGAAAGACACACAAGGGCCGGCCAAGTGGCGCGATGGTTAGGAACTGGCTTGGGATGCCAGAAGGCCCCGGTTCGGATCCCACATACTAGGGCCAGTGACACTGCCCTTCACAGCTAAGATGCTGAACAACAGCTCAACCTGGAGCTGGACTGCCGTGAGTTGCTGGCAACAGCGTAGGCTGCAGCCCCTGTGGCAGTGGGTTGCCATGGGCTACCGTGTGTAGCCAGCAGCCAGCGTGAGTGGCCAGCAGCTGCAGTGAGTGGCCG